ATAGTATAGTATAGTATAGTATAGTATAGTATAGTATAGTATAGTATAGTATAGTATAGTATAGTATAGTATAGGATAGTATAGTATAGTATAGAGTATAGTATATTAATCAATTTTCTTTTAATTCTAAAATTTGTTCGAAGCGCCTAAAAGTATGCTATGGTTTTATCATAAGCTATGCTTTTATTTCCAAAGTTCACTCTACTACATATGACTCGGACATGATATGTAAACTGATATTTACTGGGCGCCTCATTTAACTTCCTTTTCCTTTTCCTTTTGCAAATACTGTTCCAGCCGATTCGACCTTACCCATCACTTTGACTTTTTACAGCGTCAATTTATTTTATTGCAGCTTTTATTTATTTTTTGTTTATTTTTCCATTCTGTCATAAAAGTAATTTATTATTTTGTTGTGGTTGTTCTTTTCCTTTCCTTCTTTGTTGTTTTCCATTCTGTTATTATATTTATTTTCTTTTATACATTTTCTCTGTTCTAAACATGTATAACGTCGCTGGTGACGATGGCGGTTAGCTACTCAGCGCTGTCATTGCCATCGTCATCAATGCTGTTCCACTTCAGATTGTTTTTATTTCCTACGTTGACAGATAAAATTAAAAGACACACACACACACAAACCCAATAACAATCGGCCTAGACAAGAGGTTGTGATTGGGCCACAGACAGTGTGAACCGAACCGAACCCCAACCCAAAACCAAAAGAAAACGTTTCTGATTTAGTTGGAAATTGTATTTTCAGTGCTTCTCTTCAGCGACGCGTTGCGATTCTTAAAAGCGAAAACAGCAGAAAATCGGAAATCGCGTTGTTTTTTTTTTTCTTTCAATGTGGAACTAATTTTCAAATCGGATTTTGTGATAGTATTACACGTTGAAAGTTGTAAAATTCTTTGAAAAAAATAACTGAACTGAACCCGAACTGAAATTGAAACTTGTTAAATAAAAGGCAGCAACAGCTAATTCGCTTTGTCATCAAAACTCTTGGTGTGATTGCAGCTGGTGTTCTTAGGTTTCTTTCTCGTTGTTGTTTTGTTTGTGATTTGGCATTATTTGGAACACAGTGTAAACATGGTAAAGTTTTGAGGGAATAAATAAAAATAATAAAATCATGGTTCCAATTCATATTCTGGACTGGGGAAATGATATTTTCTACATATTTTTATAACCTCCACCATAGTATGGAGGGTATATTAACTTAGTCATTCCCTATGTAACTCCTCGAAATACTCATGTCGAACCCAACAAAGTGCATATATATTATGGATCAGAAAAATTAGTTATGCAGGTCCACGTCTTTGTATAGCCCCCTATATAATGGTACCTCCCAATATTCGATATTTTTATGATTTTAGAGACAATATAGACCGGAATTGTTTCAAATTTGGTATTTGAAGTTCGTAATGAATACTGTAAACTATGACATAAAAATGTCTATGCAAGTCCACGTCTTCCTATAGCCCACATATAACGAACCGGAATAAGTTCAAAATTCGTATTTGAAGTTCGAAATCGGCACTACAGCCAATGACAAAAAATTACATATGCAGGTCCTCGCCTTCGTGTAGCCCCATATAAAGGTTCTCAACTTCCTTCCAAATAATGAAGGGTATTAAAGTTGGGCCTGGCCGAACTTAGGTGCGTTTTTACTGGCTTTACTTCGAATTTCGTTCCTTTATAAAGAGATGTAATTATAAGTTCCCTCCACGCCAAAATGTAACCTATTTTCACTCTGTATCTCTTAAACCTAATGCAAGACATAATCACTTGCTCTATTTTAGACAAATTACACGGTGCAACACAAAAACTAATTTGAGTGAAAATTCAGCAGATTATGAAAGTAAAGCTGAAAATAGGCGACACATGTATCTGCGTTTTTTATATCGTAAAGGAACCAATCTAAAGGGGGCAAAGGGGGGGAAACTCTTCCACACTTTTGGGATTTTTTAGGATTACGATTTTTTGGGACCCTTATATTTTAGGAATATTGTGTCTTTGGCAATATTACTTGTATCAATACGAGGATTAATTTGGTGGAATTTTCTAACCCTCAAGCGAGTCATCCAAGGGAACTTTTTTATCCTTATGAATTATGTTTAAAAACTCCCTATATACGGGATCGTAGCAAGTCAATATACTAATTTTTCTTGTTGAAAGAAATATCTATATATAAAATTATTGAAAATTGTGATCCTTTATGGATGAGGTACCAGAAGGGGTTTGCAGATCGGTAGCATCTTCGCAACAGATCTTGTGTTAGCTAATATCTTTGTTTGTGTGACGTTTGAAGATAATTGGATGCTTACATCGCTTTCTTTGGGCGTTTTGTTTTTCAAAATCTTGAACCCTATGTGGGGGAGGTGCCAGAAGGAATGGTCCGATCTCTACCATCTGTATAATAGACCATGTGTTTATGGAAATATTGAGATGTGCCAAGACTGAATGTAATCGGATGTAAATTTCGTGTTTTATGAGCTCCATGGACATTCAAAATTTTGACCTTTGTGGGGGAGATACCAGAAGGAGAGGACCGATATATTCCATCTTCACAGCAGATCTTGTGTTAGTAGAAATAATGGCATGTGCGAAATATGAAAGAACCAGATGCTTATTTCGGATTTCATAACCTCTTTGGTATTCAGAACATTGATCCTTTGTGGGGGAGATACCAGAAGGAGTGGACCGTCATATTCCTTCTTTACACCAGACTTCGGGTCAATGAAATATTGTGATATGTGAAATTTAAAGAAAACCGGATTCTTATTTCGGGCTTTATGATCGTTTGGTTATTTGTTTTTTGTGAGGGAAGTTACAAGAAGGAATACTCCGATATCTACCATATTTATAACAGATCTGGAAATGATGGCAATATTGAGATGTGCCAAGTCTGAATGGAATCGGATGTTAATTTCGTGTTTTATGAGATTTATGGATATTCAAAATTTAGACTGTTTGTACTAGATGTACCGGAAGGAGTGGACCGATATATATTCCATCTTCACACCAGTCTAACCCTAAGTCTGTGATGTGTGTAATCTGACTATTATATCACATTTTATAAGATATATTATTGTTTAAAATGTTGACCCATTGTCGGGGGAGGTACTTGATGTAGTGGGCCGATAATGTATTTTCGCATCCGACCTAGCAAATCAAAGTATCCTTTCCCTTTGTGTGCAGTAAAATATTTTTGGGAAAATTGTGACCTTTTGTGGGGGAAGTACCTGGTCTCCTCTTTAGGTACCTCCCCCAAAAAGGTCACAATTTTCCCAAAAATATTTTACTGCACATAAATGGAAAGGATACTACGATTTTGCTCCAAATTTGCAAATCCTAATATTTGCATCACTGCTAGGTCAGGTGCAAAAAAAGACATTATCGGTCCACTCCATCAAGTACCTCCCCCAACAATGGATCAACATTTTAAATAATATTTTTTTGTAAAATATTTTTACATGCTAGGATAACTTTTAATCGAAGTTTTTAAATATTTTTAAAGAAGGACCGGAAAGACCCCTTTGTTGGCTCGCTTGAGGGTTAAAATTTCCGACCTAAGTAACCAAATCTTTGTAGTTGTATCTATGATATTGCCGGGCGATTCTATGGAATCTTTATTTGAAATTTTCAAAAATGTATAAGTGAGGAAATGCTTACATAACCCCTAAAAGTATTCTTCAAAAAATCAGGATTATTTCTCCTAAAACTCCTCTTTTGTGACTATCTCAAACTGTTTATAATTCCAAAAAATGCTTTACCTTTTATCCATTAGTGTTGTTTCCCATTTTTTTTTAACAAATGGTTTTCTCTCTTTCTGTCCTCCATCTCTTTGCAGACATCTCTTGTGCCACAGAAGAAGCATTTTCTAAGAAAATCCCATCACAATAGCTGCTGCCGTCAAAATGGAGAAACCCATGCAGCCGGTTGGTAAGGTTTCGCAAATTGCGAACCTTTTCCAACGCAAACCCATGAAATCCAACCAGTCGAACAATTGAGTGCTGCTGCCGCCGCCGCAGCTGCAGCAGCCGCAGCGGCCGCCGCTGCCGCAAACACAACGGGTACACCCGCACTGTCGTACGCACAGAATCACATTCGGCGCGATTCAACAACGCCCGAGCCCTTTTCGAGAAGTTAGGCGTCGAAAGCAATTCCAATCTCAGTGTGAAACGGTCGGGTTCGCGTGAAGACAACCTTTGCGGTGACATCAATCATTCGGATCGTTCGTCGTCGCGTTTCATCGGATCGTTCGATATCACCACCCAAACGGCGTTCTCCCTTCCCGTCCGGTTGTCAGGTGGCTGCCTCAATGGCCAACAATAACAGTAGTAATCAGCTGAACGGCGGCATAGTTCCGCCGCTGGCAAATTCCAAATTTATTATGGAACCAAGTCCAAAATTCCAACACAACATTTCAAGATTAAAATCCGAGGATAACATTACCTCATCGTCATCATCTAGCTCTGGGGTGGGTAGTGTTAGCGCCATTTTGTCCGGCTCGTCCGGTGGCGATAAACCAGAGAAACCTGAACGGAAATTCAATTCCCGAGAATTGATTGAAAAACAAAAGAAATGGACATCCCATTTTACCAAAACCAAGACCACACGATCTCATGGTGATCTCAATCGTTGCGATATCATACGCACCGGACCGGGTACGGTGCTGATTCCCAGTTCCGTCATACAAATGAAAGACACGGCGGCCAACTCCACAACCTCACCCCCGCTAAATAATCACAAAATGATTCCCCAAAATAATCAAATCAACGAAACCCGTTCCCCCATTTTGGCCAGTTTGGCACATCAGGATAAGCCACCAGTCCCCCGATACGGCATTCGGTACAACCGCCCGAAATAAAACCACGTAGCAGCAATAAAATCGGAAGCCCCGTTAAGTCTCCGCCCTTGCCACCCATACCGGCTGCCAAACCGAAAAATGTCAGCCCCGTCAAATTCAATCCCGAACGGGTAAGGTCACCAACAAAAATATCAGAACCACCACCGCCTCCCCCAGCCAAATCAGCCGCCGCTGCTGCAGCTCAACAACGTTCGATTGACGAACAGAATGGCATTGCACCCATTCCGCCGGAAAAACCTCGCAAAAAATCCATAGATCTGGTGGAGACAGAGGAGCGCATTACGCCATCATCGCCAACATTACAGGCTCCGGGTTATGTGCATGCCGCCAAACGGGGTTCCATTGACAGTGCCGGTAACAGTACTTCCATTGCCAGTGCCAATGGCATTCTAAGTGGCAGCAGCAATTCGGCAGCCTCGCCGGGAGCCAGTGCATCGTCGGGACCATCGTCACCGGTACACACCGAAGATGAGAAACAGGAAAACGAATCGACCGAGAAATCGGAAATGAAACAGCAGTATTATCACAGTATGCCGCGCAGACGAAGGAGCGAAAATGAAGGTGAGTGGAGGAACATTTTTTTTAATGTTGATATATGGCTTTCTTAAGAAGCCATCTTCGCCGTATTCTCTAAACAGAAAACAGGTCTTCCATGGATAGAAGAGCAACTCTTCTATGGATAGGAGAGGGAACTCTTCTATGGATAGGAGAGGGAACTCTTCTATGGATAGGAGAGGGAACTCTTCTATGGCTAGAGGAACAACTCTTCTATGGATAGAAGAGGGAACTCTTCTATGGATAGAAGAGGGAACTCTTCTATGGAATGAAGAGCAACTCTGTTGGAAGAGCAGCTCATCTATGGATTGAAGAGCAAGTCTTCTATAGATTGAAGAGCAACTCTTCTACGGATAGAAGAGGAAACTTTTCTATCCATTGAAGACCTGTCGCATATCGTAGAATACCTGTCATCTATCCATAGAAGACCTGTCTTCTATCCATGGAATACCTTTCTTCTATCCACAGAAGACTGGTCTTATACCCATAGAAGGCCTGACTTTTATCCATAGAAGACCTGTCTCGTATCCATATAAGACCTGCCTTATATCCATATAAGACCTGCCTTATATCCATAGAAGACCTGTCTTCTATCTATAGAAGACCTGCCTTATAGAAAACGTGCCTTCTATCCATAGAATACACCTGTCTTCTATCCATAGAAGACCTGTCTTCTATCCATAGAAGACACCTGTCTTCTATCCATAGAAGACCTGTCTTCTATCCATAGAAGACACCTGTCTTCTATCCATAGAAGACCTGTCTTCTATCCATAGAAGACCTGTCTTCTATCCATAGAAGACCTGTCTTCTATCCATAGAAGACACCTTTCTTCTATCCATAGAAGACCTGTCTTCTATACATAGAAGACATGTACCTATAGAAGACATGTCTTCTATCCATAGAAGACACCTGTCTTCTTTCCATAGAAGACACCTGTCTTCTATCCATAGAAGACACCTGTCTTCAATACATAGAAGACCTGTCTTCAATACGTAGAAGACCTGTCTTCTATCCATAAAATACCTGTCTTCTACCCATAGAAACCTGCTTCTTATCCATAAAATATGAATATGGCCATGTTTAACTATTGGGTTAGGATTTCGGTTTCTGAATTTTCACCTCCATCTTTTATAGGTAAATCGAAATCATTTATATATTATGTCATTTTCTAGCCTTTTTTTGAATCTAAATATACACTTGAAAACAAAATGTTACGAAATGAAATAGACGTCAAGTCTAAGCATAGAATCAAATGTCCTTTAAACTCGACGGCACATTACCCACATCCACATGACAGGCATCAATGGGAATACCATTATATATTGCCGTTTAACAAACCGTCATTTATGTTTCCTGGAAATTCCGACAGAAAGCTTCTTCCTTTATCCAAAATAGATGAGATGACGCAAATCCTTATCTCCAACGTTAGGAGATGATCTAAAAATACATGGAAGAGTTGTTCAGGAAATGTGGAACTATTTTTAGGCGTTTTTGAAAAGGGGTTGGTTGCTGGAAGAAAACCATTTTACCAAAGTGATAATTATAGATGCTGGCAATTTTTCTGTAATAGTTGGACACTTGTGTTGGAAGCTGTATATGTGTAGTTTTACGTCTACCCAGCAAAAATATCATCATCAAATAATGGGTTTATGAGATACATGTTGGCAGTTCTTTATAAATATGGAAATAAAATAGCTCGATACTAGGTAAGGTAAAATTAAGTTATTTGCCTTGTCAATTTTGAGAATAGATCCATCTACCATTTGGCTTATCGGTATTACAGAGGAATGTATGTAGTTGACATTGCTTAGGTCTACTGAAAATGCAAAGGGTATGTCGATGTCGTTATAGGAAGTGCTGAAAATCGGAACAGGACCTACCAACATTTTGCTAGATGTAGGATTATACCAAGTCAATTTTTAGGTATAATGGGAAAGCAATACACTGGTGGCCAAAACTAAAGCAACTTAAATGGCAAAGACAATAAATGTCCTGTAACTTTTACAAAAATAAACAAATCGTAATTATTTTTCCAGTTTTAAATGAGGGTTTTAATTCACTTTTAAGAAACTAAAAATAAAAATACAAAAATTATTTTGATCGAAAAATAATATGTGGAAAACTAAAATGACCCAATTTTTGCTTGGTCAAAACTAAAGCAACTTTTGATTTTTTATTTTAAAATAATTAAATTTTGGCTAGTAGTCGATAGCATAACCATTATTTTTGATAGCAGCTGCACACCTACGAGGCATTGAATCTATAACACGCTCAATTTGATCTTTGGGTGTGCTTTCCCAGGCACCCCGACTTCTTTAGAAAATGTTGTGCTTATTTATTTCCGAATCTCTCTTGATCTTCCTATCTACGATACTCCAAAGGCTTTCTAAGGAGTTTAGGTCAGGTGATTGTGCCGGTCATAACAAAATATGCATTTTTGACTCCCGCAACCAATATTTGACAAGTTTTGATACAAGTTTGGGATCATTGTCATGCTGAAACACACAAATCAGCCCAATATTTTACTCAGCGTAAGGGAATAACGTGATGTCCAACACATCTTTGTAAACAAACGGATCCACAACTTCCTTTATTTTATGGATAGACCCAAGTCCATAGAAAGAAAAACAGCGCCACGCCATTTTTGAACCTCCCTCATGCTTCACTGTACCTTTGCAACACTGTGGCTTGAGTCCTTCATTTTTTGGTCTTCTCACCGTAAAATTTTTCACTTCTGAGCCTTTAATATTAAACGTAGACTCATCCCAGAAATAATGTTTTTTCCATTGAGCTTGATTCCACTTAATATTATCGTTTCCGAAAGCAGTTTTTGATTTTTTCAGATATAAATGGTTTTTTGATATCTTACGGGCATGCAGACCAGCTGCCACTACTCGTCTACGCACTGATCTCGAGCTTATATCCAATGATGCTCTCTCACCAATCCAGTTGAACTCTTAAATAGTTGTTTTTTTATTTCTCTCACAATTTGTGGATCAGTACGGGCTGAAATTTTTCACGGCCTTCATCCGTTATAGGCTGTTACTACTGATCCAGTTTCAAAAAACCGACTTAGTATACAGAAATAATTATGAAATCACATAAATATATATGAGATATTTCTCGGAAATCATTTTTCGTAATATGTTGTTTTGATAGTCACTGATAATTTGCTGTTTTATTCAGGTACTGTATTTGCTTCTAGCCATTTTTAAAATTTTTTTGGGCAGTACTTAAAAAACGAAAAGAAAAACACATACTGTTGTAAAAACTTCTCAAAAAGGATTTATGACAAGCGAAATTGTCGAAGGAAGCTAAAAGCGATAAATATCACAGTAAAAACAACTGAAATTGCAGAGGTTATATGAATGTACAACAGAGTTGCTTTTGTTTTGTCCAAGCCAAAATCGGGTTAATTGACTTTACCAAACATTATTTTTTATATAAAATGAATTTTGGTTTTATGTTTTAGGTTTTTTAAAAGTGAATAAAGTACCTAATTTAAAACAAGAAAAACTTTCTCATTTTCTTAATTTTTGACAAAGTTACAGGGCATTCATTCTCCTTGTAATTTCAGTTGCTTTAGTTTTGGCCACCAGTGTATATATATAGAGTGCGCATGCATTTGGAGTTAGGGCCCTCAGATATTCGATATATGGCTAAGTCTAGTCAATTCTATCTGAGAAATTATCGAAATTACATTTGGATATTGTTATTTTTTTATCATCTCTAATGGATATACTGTATGTGTATATGTGCTGTTGCTTATGAACGAATAACAAATGCCGGCACAACAGACAGCTCCGTTATGGAAAGCTTTTTATTACATTCAAACACATACACACACACATTTAATGGATTTTACCGACATGCGCTTCGAAAATGTTTTCTACGCTTCAATTGAAAGGGGAAGCTTTTTCATATTTTCAGTGTGTTTGGCAACGTTGTATGAAAAGCTTTTTTAAATGTAAACAAATAAAGATGTCGAAATTTTACAACAGATGTCGCTGGGAATCTTATGTAACGTTTTCCATTTAACTTATTTATATTTATTTAAGGCTTTTAGCAAGGATTGGATGAGAAATTACCAAGTGAAAGCTAAAATAAGCTATTATCCTCTTAAAATTACAACAAACAGTGAAATATAATCTATTATTTTACCCCCTACACCACAAGGAGGTCAGGGTATTATGTCTCTGTGCATTTGTTTGTAACAGGCGAAAGGACACGAGATAAATCCATAGTTCCTTGTCATGAACTGCATAGAATCACATTCGATGTTTGCATGTCCGTCCGTCCGTCTGTCTGTCAACGTATTTTTGTAAACAGAGTACATTGAAATTGGAGATAATCGGTCAAAATTTAGATATACAGGGAGATGAAAAAACTGCAACTGCAACTTCAGACTGATGAATAGGCCAAAATGCAGCAGACCAACATTCGGTCTGACTGTGACGGTTTCATTGGCCGTTTTGAAGGTCATAATTCGTGCCAAAGGTGACCAATTCGAACAAATCTAAACTTATTCTAAAAATTTGATGCTATTTCCGACAATTTTTGCTTTCATTCAAAAAAAAAAAAAAAAAAAAAAAAAAAAAAAAAAAACAATGTAAAATTATGGCGGTTGACTTTGTTGCAGTTTTTTATCTCGCCCTGTAGCTTCGTCCGATTTGCCTATGATTGTGCATCAAACGCCCAAATAGTATGGAATTTTCCATATACGACCAAATTAAGCCTGGAAATAAGTGTGCCAAATTTGATCGATATCGGTTCAGATATCGCTATAGGTCGCATATATATTGTTCATCCGATTTGTTATATTTGTTCTCCACAGCCGTAATATGAAGTCTTTAACAGCGATATTCGGGGGGAATATATCAAATACAGCACAAAAATACCTTTCCCAAATTTTATCGCGATCGGTTCAGGTTTGGAAATAGCTCCAATATATATATCTCGTTGACTTTGTTGTGCGTTCGATATCTCTCAAAGAGAATATCCGA